TGGGCAATGTTTATGGTCATTTATGCATAATAAAAAGGAGAATCTATGTGTGTGTGTATGCGGATTTTTTGGGACTCGGTAAATATTGCCAAATTGTCCTCCTACATTCACCGCAGATGTTGATGATGGCCATCCTGATGAAGATGAGAGACTAAATGTGGTCTAATCAGTATGTCTACACATTTACTAGATATTTGATACGCACAGTAATAATGGGCATATATTCTGCCTTAACATGTAGACTATTCAAATTATTAAATCAATATGATGGAATATTAAGCAACAGGTTGTATCTTGTACGGCACGTTGATGTGATTAAATTGAAATTTAAAACGATTTTTTGCATCAATTACAAACCGATTATAAGAAAAACAGGATTTTGGAGAACTTAGATTACAATTGGGAAGATAGCGGTTTTTAATGCGAAAATGTCCATTTTTTTCCAGAAAGTACTTAACCATAATTAGAAGCAATGAGAACAACACCAACAGAGACACTAGTATCAATGCAATAAATCCCCTCTGTTGGAATTAAAATAGATACAGCTACCAGTAAGGAAAAGTCGGAAGCGGCCGACTATATGATACCCTACACCACTATACATATTTAGTAGAGCTCCCGAAACAAAAGAATTTATTTGAAGTAGGTCTTACCACCTACCAACATTAAGCTTTAGAGCAGTTATAATTTGGTCTTAGTGGGAATCGATTTTCGATTTTCACTAAATTTCACGGAGACATGTTTATTTTTATACCAAATAACATTGCTACAGAGTGCATGATATCACTTCGAGAAGGATTGTGTTAAAACAAGTAAAAATACTATAAGTTCGTCTGGGCCGAACTTTGAATACCTTTCAACATATGAAACGAATTTTCAATTTTCAAAAAATAAAATCCGTTAAAAATTCAGTTAAAATATTAAAAATACCGAATGTAGCCGTTATATTAGGGTCTATACGACGACGTGGACCTGCAAAGGCAACTTTTGTCATAAGCCATTACAATATTCAAATGCAAAACTTGAAAAAAACTCGGTGAAGAATGTAGCTAAAATCATCAAAACACCGAATATAGGGTACCGTTATATGGGGGCTATACGAAGACGTGAGCCTGAATAAACAATTTTCTGTCATAGGCTCTAGTATTCATTACGAACTTCAAATACCAAATTTGAAACAATTCCTGTGAATAATGTCGCTAAAATCATCAAAATACACAATATCGGGAGGTGTTGTTATATTGGGGCTATACGAAGACGTGGACCAAACAAACTTAGTAAACCCTCCATACTATGGTGGAGGGTATATGAAAATATATCGGAGCCGAGTTTCACCAAATGGAAACGTCCGTCCCGAAATAAATCTGAAATCGGATTAAGGCTATATATGTGGGTGCTATATCCAAATCTGAACCGATCTTGATACAATTTGGCAGAGGTATTTCTGGGCTGTATCTGATACCTGGTACCAAAATTCATTCTTGTGTAGTGCACATTACGAATGTGAGGGACTTAACACACCAAATTGGATGAAAGATATATATGGGAGCTGTAGTTATATCTGAATCGACATTTGATGTACTTGCTTCTAGACATTGGCCATTTGTGGACAATTAATGCGAAATCGCTTGAGAATATATATATTGAAGCTACAGCTATATCTGAACCGATTTGCGCCAAATTTAAAGAACTTATTTCCAGAATGAATTCAGTCGGAATTGCCAAAATTCAGTTCATTTCGGCTGAAATTAGCCATTTGGTGCACAATATACCTGATATCAATAAAGATATATATGGGAGCTATATCGTAATCTGAACCGATCTTGAAAAAACTTAACAGAGGTATTTCTGGGCTGTATCTAATATATTACTAATGTAGGGGACTTAAACACCAAATCAGATGAAACACATGTATGGGAGCTATATATCTGAACCGATTTTCTCCAAATTTGATGTAATTCAGGTCATTTGGACTGATATTGGCCATTTGGTGCAAAATTAGACCGAAATGGGTTGAAGATATATCTAGGAGCTATATATTTTTATTTGAACAGATTTTTACCAATTTCAATAGGGCTTGTTCTTGGGCCATATAAATCTTGTTTTGGAAAATTTCATCTCAATCGGATAATAAATGCGACCTGAATTTTGTTCACAAAAATACATGGACAGACGCCGGACGGACAAATGGGCTGGCATGCTTAAATCGACTCAGAGAGTGATTCTATGCAGATAATCAAAAGGAACTATGGGTCTATCTCGCTTCTATTTGCTTGTTACAAGTAAATGCACAAAGACATAATACCCTGACCACCTTGTGGGTATAAAAAGACCCAGTCCAGTCCTTCCCCCTTGCAAATATTCATCTAAATACAACAGTTTTTATATCCTCAGCCATATGGCTACAGAGGGTATATATCATTTGATACGACCAAAATGTGCCTAGTCGAAATAACTGTTTTAGACCACAGGTATTGTTGGACCAAATCCGTTTCAGGACATTTGGAGTCGATCTAGCGATGTCCGTCCGGCCGTCTGTCTGTCTGGCTGACTGGCTGGCTGGCTGGCTGGTGCGCTCGAAGGGAGTATCCGATTTGATCCATAGTTGGTGTATCGTAATATTATTGCCAAACTTAGATCGAGTTCGGAGATGGGCACTATCGGCCTCCCACACAAAATATCAAAATTTTCAAAGAAAATAATTTATTTGACAGAAAGAGAAACGATAATCCTTTGCAAATCCTAATATTTGCATCAGTGCTAGGTCAGTTGCGAAAATGGCCAATATCGGTCCACTCCTTCTGGTACCTCCCCACAAAAGGTCGAAATTTGGAATATCCATTAAGTTCATAAATCGCGAAATTAATATCCGATTTCATTTAGACTTGGCACATCTGAATATTTCTATCAACACAGGATCTGTTATAAAAACGTTAGATATCGGACTATTTCTTCTGGTACCTCCCAAAAAGGGTCAAAAATATCCACGAAGCTCATAAAAAGCGAAATCAACATCCTATTCCATTCCAGATTTGGTGCATCTTAATATTTCCATCAACACAAGATCTGTTATAAAGATGGTAGAGGTCGGACCATTTCGTTTGCTACTTGCCCCCACATAGGTTTCAAGATTTAGCGATTCTTTACAACTTGCTATATCTAAATATATCTTTATTTGCCAGAGAACTGAGATGAATATGGAAATTATGATTTCGCATAAAATTGGATATAAATGCTCGATTTTCTTGACCTTACCAATACCCATCGGCTATACCTTTTACCTCACGCACATGTTAATATTTTCTAGAATTAATATATATATCATGTAAAGTGAAGGAAGTTACCAATATAGTCCAAACGTCGCAATATTTATTATACCCTACACCACAAGGTGGTCAGGGTATTATGTCCTTGTGCATTTGTTTGTAACAGGCAAAAGGAAACGAGATAGACCCATAGTTCCTTTTGATGATCTGCATAGAATCACTTTCTGAGTTGATTTATGCATGTCAGTCCGTCCGTTCGTCCGTCCGTCTGTCCATGTATTCTTGTGAACAAAATGCAGGTCGCATTTATTATCCGATTGAGATGAAATTTTGCAAACAACATTTGTTTGGCCCAAAGACGAACCCTATTGAAATTGGAGATAATCGGTAAAAATTTAGATATAGCTCCCATATATATCTTCGTCCGATTTGCCTTTTATTGTACACCAAACGTGTAATATCAGCCCGAATAGTATGGACCTGAAAATAAGTATGCCAAATTTTATCGAAATCGGTTCAGATATAGCTATAGCTCCCATATATATTGTTCATCCGATTTGTTATTTTTGTCCTCCGCAGCCGTAATATGCACTCTGTAACAACAATTTTGGGGAAATATATCAAATGTAGCTCAGAAATACCTTTGCTAAATTTTATCGAGATCGGTTCAGATTTGGATATAGTTCCCATATATAACTTCGTCCGATTTACCATTTATTGTGCACCAAACGTCTAATATTTGCCCAAATGGGATGGAATTTGGCACATACGACCGAATTTAGTCTAGAAGGTAGTATGCCAAATTTGGTGAAGATCGGTTCAGATATAGTTATAGCTCCCATATATAATGTTCATCCGATTTATTGTATTTGTTAACCACAGCCGTAATATGCACTCCGTAATAACGATATTCAGGGAAATATATCAAATACAGCTCAGAAATATCTTTGCCAAATTTAATCGAGATCGGTTCAGATTTGGATATAGTTCCCATATATATTTTTATCCGATTTCAAATTAATTTCGCACCAAATGAACAATAGAAGTACGAATTTAAAAGATACAAGTGCTTCGGCATATTTAGTCCTTTGAATTTTAAATTATAATTATAATCATAGCGTGTATGATTGAATTCTCCCATAAAAACTTTTAATTATTAAGTGGAGCTCAACTAAATTAGCAAAGTGGTGTAGGGTATCATAAAATCGGCCCCGCCCGACTTTAGGACTTTCTTTACTGGTTTATATTATATATATATTGACAAATTCCTTCGAAATCGACTCCATAAGGGGTTAAACTTTTGAATAATCATAGCAGAAGTCAAAATATTTTTAAATAATCGTACATTAGCTGAAGGTATACATCTGTCGGCAAACACGACAAATTCCTTTTAACTTGTTTATAGAGCACTTGGTATTAAACATTTTCTCGGTATCAGTTCCTATAAAATATGGAATCTTAAATTATCTGTTACCGCCCAACATTGTTACGTACTTAAGATTTCGCCACATAATATTTGAAAGGCCAATTGTTTTCCTAGCCCATATGCCACTAATTCTTTCAAAGTCTAATGTTACTGAAATTGAACATAAAACCTGTACTTATTTTCGTAACTGCACTATTGCGAAGGTATCTTAACAACATGACAACAACAAAAAGAGCAACCCATTCCCATAATGCCATATCATATTTTTCCTTATATAAGCAACAATACATTTTTATCTGTACACTCACCATCACCGGGATCATAAACAGCTCTCTCCTGCATTTCATCCAAATCGTGTGGCTTAAACGAGACTTTGCCACTGGGAACTGAATCCATAAATTGTGCTCTGGCCAGGGCATAAATATCTGCTGTGTCCTTTAGAGCGCTGCCCGATGCCGTTGCATGTGAACCCGATGCCGTTGAGCCTCCTACAGGTGCATGGCCAGCCATCGGTTTCGTTACAAATGCACATGTCTGACACACCATTACGGCGGACACGATGAATGTCGTGAAATAATAAGCCAACATATCCGTTTGCATATTACGCGTGTCTGAAATTATGAGAAGGAAGAGGAAAATGTAAATGAAAATTGCGGTTATGGCTAATGGGAAACGATGGCTAAAAACAAAACATGCGTTTGTGGTGAAAGTGTGTGTAGGGTGCGTGTGTGTGTGTTTACGTGGAAAACATTAATACCACTTTATTTAGAGGAAAGTGCGATTATTATTTTCCAAGCTAATTTCAAGGGAAGTCATTAAAATTGCATGGAATGCAGTTAAATTCTCATAGGTGTCAAGGGGAGCTGACTGGATGCGCAATTTGTACGCTTTACCGTTAGTTAGTTAATTAATTAGCAGCGGTTTACTTAACGAGCAATTAACAATGGATTGGCTAACTTATTCTATTGTCTCGTTCTGATATGAACCTTGCTATATAGAACTGGGCGTATCTGTTGGAATGAAAAAGTGACAAGTGAAAAAAAGTATAAAATTTTTAATAAAAAAAATTACTGGGTGTGAAATATAAAACGTAATTTTTTCATCAAGAAAATGATTATTGTTAATGGGATTTAGCTAATCCTATTGAAATTGGTGAAAATCGGTTCAAATTTGCATATAGCTCCATATATATCTTCAACCGATTTTAAGTTAATTGTGCACCAAATGGCCAATATCAGTCCAAATGACCTGAATTTTGGCATAACCGACCGAATTCAGTCTAGAAGCAAGTACATCAATTTTGTTCAGATTAAGCTATAGCTCCCGTATATAAGTTTCATCCCATTTGGGGTTTTATGTCCCTCACATGTGTAATATGCACTCAGCCCAGAAATAATTCTGCTAAATTTTATCAAAATCGGCACAGAGTTGGATATAGTTTCTATATATACTTTTATCCGATTTCAGGTTTATTGTGCTCCAAATGGCCAATATCAGTCCAAGTGGAGAATTACGACAGAATTCAGTTTAAAAGCACGTGTATCAAATTTGGTGAATATTCTTTTTCTGATACAGGGTGAGATGAAAAAACTGGAACCAATTTTAGGACTGTTGTCATTTCCAAGCCACTTGTCCGACAGCTGTTAAAATTATTACAGTGGTAGCCCATTATATTGTTTACATGCGTACAAAAGCATTTATTTTTTGAGAATTTTCTAGGACATTTTTTTCCATTTATTCCTGATGGAATTCAAGCGTGATAGTGTGATTTCTTTATATTTGGCTGTTACCGTGATACTGGTAGCGTAGCCCGACGTCCAGAATATGGACGGAAGAAAACAGCAACATCAGCAGAAATGGTTCGAAAAGTAAAGAAGCCCGAACCGCAATGGCCGAAAAATGGCTCGTGAGCTGAACATATTGCAATATTCCACTCAGCAAATATTGAAAAATGAGCTCGGGGTAAAGCCGCCACAGAAAGAGCTAAAGAGTTGCTTCGCTTGGCCGAAAGTGGTGAACTGCCGAATTTGGTTTTATTCCGATGAGAAGACATTCGTTGTCCAGCAGTTTGTAAACAATCAAAATGATCGTGATTACTTGCCAAAGAGGTAAGCTGAAAATGTGCACCTTTGGTTGGCCACCAGAACTGAAGCGCCGGCCATGGTGATTGTATGAGCCGCCATAACAGCCGATGGTCGCTCTCCGCTCGTATTAATCGACCGTGGCATCAGAATAAATTCCGAATATTATCGCGAAAATATTTTGGCCGCAGACCTTGGGCATTCCAACAGGACTCAGCACCATCGCACTCAGCACTCAGCCACCCAAGATTGGTTACACAATGAGGTTCCAGCACAAAATGACCACCAAAATCTCCGGATACCTATTCGTTGGACTATTGTGTCAGGAGTATTTTGCAAGGTTGGCACTAAAAAATACGAAAGTGTTGATCACCTCAAGCAAGCGCTTCGCCGGAAATGGGCCAAAATACCGCAGAGCAACAATCGGGCAGCGTGTGATGGTTTCATTGGCAGTTAGAAGGCCATAATTCGTGCCAATTCGAACAAATTTAAATTTATTCTAAAGTTTGATGCTATTTTTGAAATTTTTTGCTTTCATTCAATAAAATCTAAAAATAATATGTATGTATGTTTTTTGTCTCACCCTGTATATCTATAGCTCCCATATATATGTTTTATAAGAGAATGTTTCATTAGATGTTGAAAACCCTCCCTTTCGTAATATGCACTCCACAAGAATGATATTTGTCACCAGATAACTTATGGAGCTCAAAAATGTCTCTGACAAATTTTATGGAGATCGGTACAGATTTTATATAGCTTATATAACTGATAAACAAATATATATATATATATATATATATATATATATATATATATATATATATATATATATATATATATATATATATATATATATATATATCTATATCTATAAAAGAGGAAAATGTTTGTATGTTTGTTTGTTCGTTTGTTTGTTTGTTATTTATGGACTCGAAAACCGCTGAATAGATTTTCCTGAATATTTCCATATATACTGCATAGCCTGAACCGCCTGAAAGTAACATAGGCTATATACATTTTTGAATTTCCACTTGGAACTGGAGATATAGCATCAGAATCGGAGGTACCTCCCAAAAATTTAGATTTTATATGCACATATCTATTGATTAGTTGAAGATACAGTCTCCAAATTTGGAATACGTAACGGAATTTGGAACAAAAATAAGTCTGCCAAATTATATTGTAATCGGTTCAGATTTGGATATAGCTCCCATATATATTTTCGACCGATTTCGTTCATTTTATGCCTCAAACACAATATGAATGTTCGATTCCAATGAAATTTGGAATGTGTGACGGGATTTAATCCGAAAATAAATTTGTCAAATTATATTGAAATCGGTTGAGTTTTGGATATAGCTCCCATATATATTTTCGGCCGATTTCAAGCATTTGATGCACCAAACACGCTATGTATCCCCAATTTCAATGAAATTTGAAACGTGTGATAGATTTTATCTACAAAATTGATTTCCCAAATTATATTGAAATCGGTTCAGATTTGGATATAGCTCCCATTTATATTTTCGGCCGATTTCATGTATGTGATGCACCAAACACGCTATGTATCTCTAATTTCAATGAAATTTGGAATGTAAAGCGGAAATTAAAACAAATATACATTTGTCAAATTATATTAAAATCGGTTCAGATTTGGATATAGCTCATATATATATTTTAGACCGATTTCATGTATTTTATGCACCATACACGATATGTATGTTCGATTCCAAAGAAATTGGGAATATGTAACGGGATTTTGATTAGAAAATAAATTAGTCAAATTATATTAAAATGGGTTCGGATTTGGATATAGCTCCCATATATATTTTCCGCCGATTTCACATATTTGATGCACAGAACACGATACGTATTTCCGATTCCAATGAAATTCGGCAAGAGTGGCTAAATTTGGTACAAAAATAAATTTGACAAATTATATTCAAATACGCTCAGATGTGATTATAGCTCCCATATATATACCCAGCCGATTTCACATATTTGATGCACCCGAAGCGAGAGAGACAAAATCTGGCACCAGAAAAAATTGCCAAATTATATTGAAATCAGTTGAGGTTTGGATATAGCTAACATATATATTTCGGCCGATTTCATACATATTATGCACCAAACACGATATATATGACAGATACCAATGAAATTCAGAATGCGTGGCGGAATTTGGTTACAATAATAAATGTGACAAATTAATTGGAAATTAGTTAAGATTTGGATATAGCTCCCGTATATATTATCGGCCGATTTCACATATTTGACGCACCAATTTCAATGAAATATGAAAGGTGGGGCGGAATTTGGTGTAAAAGTAATTTTTTTAAAATTATATTTAAATCGGATCAGATTGGGATATGATTTTAATAAGAACCATTGACCCACAACGCCTTAGGCTAACACTAAAAAACAACACAACAATTGATTTGAAATACGCTTATTACGACGAAGTATATTGCTATCTCGAATTCACTAATTGCAATAGAAATGCCACTCAACTTCAAAAGATTGCAGTTTACTGCACTCTTGGTATTTGCTATGAAATAAATAAATCCGAAGGACAAACCCTTCGTGTATGTATGTCATGTTACTGCTTTTCTAATGCTTTTGGTTATTTACGCATTAAAGTAGTGCAATAATTTTTTTTTAATTTTTAATTTTTTTTTTTTTTTTAACCAACATATATTCGTAAATAAAATTTTGAATGCATATGAAATCAAAAGGGGTAGCGAAGCGCACCGGGTTCAGCTAGTATATATATAAAAGAGGAAAATGTTTGTATGTTTGTTTGTTTGTAATTTATGGACTCGAAAACCGCTAAATAGATTTTCCTGAAAAATTCCATATATACTGCAACATCGCCTGAAAGTAACATAGGCTATATACATTTTTGAATTTCCACTTGGAACTGGAGATATAGCATCAGAAATGGAGGTACCTCCCAAAAATTTAGATTTTATATGCACGTATCTATTGATTGGTTGAAGATACAGTCTCCAAATTTGGAATACGTAACGGAATTTGGAACAAAAATAAGTTTGCCAAAATTTATTGTAATCGGTTCAGATTTGGATATAGCTCCCATATATATTTTCGACCGATTTCGTTCATTTGATGCCTCAAACACAATATGAATGTTCGATTCCAATGAAGTTTGGAATGTGTGACGGGATTTAATCCGAAAATAAATTTGTCAAATTATATTGAAATCGGTTGAGTTTTGGATATAGCTCCCATATATATTTTCGGCCGATTTCAAGCATTTGATGCACCAAACACGCTATGTATCCCCAATTTCAATGAAATTTGAAACGTGTGATAGATTTTATCTAAAAAATTGATTTCACAAATTATATTGAAATCGGTTCAGATTTGGATATAGCTCCCATATATATTTTCGGCCGATTTCATGTATTTGGTGGACCAAACACGACATGTATTTCCAATTGTAATGAAATTTAAAATAAGTAACGGAATTGGGAGCCGAAATAAATTTGTCAAATTAAATTGATATC